TTTTTTCTATCTTTCCTCAGCTCCTGATCTGGTGGGATTGGGGCCAGAAACCCTCCAAGGGCAGCAAACTCGGAAGAAGTGCTTGCAAGAGGGAGAGCAAGGCAGAGGGCCACTGCCTCCCTGCCTTGAGCAGTTCAAGCACCTGGAGCCCTCAGGGTGCTCAGGCAGAGAGATTTCCAGACCTGCCTTTCCCTCGTGACTCTACACTGCACTTCTTTAACTCAGCCTCCGCCAGGAGCTATCATGGGGCCTGGTATTTACAGCAGTGACCGAGATTGCACAACCATGGAGATGCCACCCCTGTGTGTATGCTGACCTAACGGTCAAGGGTCACTCCCTGGGCTCGAGAGCAACCTTTGTTCTGTTTCCTTTGTGCAAAATGCCAGGATGCCTCTGCCTTGAAGAGGTTGACTCTGTTGTCAGCTGTGGGAAAAACAGCCAGAGTTGCTATTTACACCCTGAATTGCAAGCTGGGTAAAAATAGCACTAGCAGCTTGGTCCAGCTTCAAACCCCACTGCAGAAAGAGATTATTTTTGGAAGAGAAGATTTTCCTCCCCACCCACAGATCTGAAAATGGTCACCTCCCGGGAGGAGAAGAGGAGACAATCCCACGCAAAGGTGAAAAATATCCCCTTCTCCACCTGCCTACCCAAGACAGCTCACCAAGAGACCGATGAGAAACGCCTTCCCCTGACAGCCAGATCAGGCCTCAGCACAGGCCTGCAGGTGACCTAGTTCAAAGTACAGTGGGAATTAATTAACTTTGACTGTAGCCAGAGGAGGCAGCTGTCTGAACCTGGATACACCACCATCCTGTTGATCACTATTAGGCTATTTGTTTACCTTTTGAAAAAAGAAGAAAAAGGAATTCACCAAAAGAGTACCTAAGAGTACCTAAGACCCCAAAACAATAGCTTAGAATATCTACTGCAGGAGGGCTTGGGAATTACTCTCCAACCCTCTCAAGGTGTGCTATAACACAGCTATAAAATGATGAACAAATTCCTGTAAGCCTGGTCTGGTCCACTTCTGTGTTTAGGGCTCCCTGATAACTGGAAGCTGAAGCTCTTCCCTCATGAACTTGCTAGAGGTTAGGAGCTGGTGTCCAGGGTCCTGGAGATCTCTTTCAGTTTCAGGACGTGACCCATATGAACAATCAGTGGAGGGGCAGCCTGGGTGGCTCAGTCGGTTAAGCATCTGACTTTGGCTCAGGTCATGACCTCGCACTTTGTGAGTTTGAGCCACATGCTGGGCCAGGAGCCTGCTTCAGGTTCTGTGTCTCCCTCTCTCTCTGTCCCTCCTCGGCTCATACTCTTTTTCTTTCTCTCTCTCTCAAAAAAAACTAAACATTAAAAAAAATTTTCTAAGGCTCTCAGTGGAAGGAAAGTCTACTCTTTCAGCGAAAAATATTTTATAGTTTTAAGTGTCTAAGGTGTCTATTATTATACACATGCAGATGGCTCCTAGGATATGTGAGAAAAATACCAGATCAACATTGAATTGTTCTGTAGTCTGAAAGTGCCTAAGCCACCCAGAGCTGAGCCTAATGGGTGCTTAGTAAATACTTTTAGGATGGACAGGAAAAATCTCCCATATCCTATCTCCATTTGACCCTCTTTCTTCCGAGATCCAGTAACCAAGATGAATCTTCTACGTGTAGGAAACATATCTAAAGACATACCTAACCAACCAAAAGAACAGTGAGGAGATCACAGTACCTCCCAGCAGCCCCCACCCAGACAGCCATCACCCTGACTCAGGGAGGGCACTGGAGTAGCAGCAGAGGAAGGGACAGCTGGGTCTACGTGCCCAGCCACCAAGGCAGCTTCCTGCAGCCTGGCCTGTCCTCAGACCACAGACAGACCTAGATTTTAGTCCTATCCTTGTCACCTTCTAGCTCTGTGACTGTCACTTTACCTCTTTGAATCTTACTTTTTCCTTCCGAGAAGAGAGATGATAATAACCACCTGCTGGGGCTGGTAAGGAGCAAATGTCGCAGCACAGAGAGCATGTGTTCCGTGCCTGGTAGACAGCAGGGGATACTATGAACCCAGCATCTGGGAGCAGTTCTATTTTTCCTGTGGCATAGCACATGCCCAGTTTTAGGATCTGTCCTGTTTCCAGCTGCTGGGTGACGGTGAGTCTACCAAATGGTTGAAGTCCTAACTCCCTGAGAAATGCACTGCTTTTACAGAAATTGCTGAAAACCTTCCGCCACATTATCAGGCCTTTCTGGACCATGCCCTTCATTCGTGGTGGACCTTCACCTCTCTGCTTCCACCTTTCTGTAACACCCATTTCCCCATCCTTATCGAGAAGCCAGAAATAGAATCTCCCTACTCTGACATCTTTGCCAACGGGGAGCTCTGGCCAGTGCGGGGCTGGGTCAGCACTGGCTCCTCGGTTGAGGGAGGCCTCAGAAGGTAGCTCCCCACGGCCCTGTTCCAAGTCATACTGTGAGGGAAGAGTTACAGCTCTGTTGCTGCTTAGCTATTTCAGCTATTCAGGTTCAGGGCCCTGAGACTCCCCAAGGACCTGGGAAAGATGGCTACATAGCCCGTTGATCGGGACCGCTTAGGTTTCTATTGCCAAAGTTGAGATCCAGATAGTGCTGACTCCAGCCCAGGAATGAAATGAGCTCAGGTGTCTCTCTCTCTCTCTCTCTCTCTCTCTGACCTCTCGCTGAGGATTGTAGGCCAAGGTGGCCAGGCTCTCCCCTCCAGCCTAAGTCAGCCTCCTCCTGAGTCAGCTTTCTGCACCTCTCTATTAATAGCCACTGCTTTGGCTGGCTTCACTCACAGTATGATCATAGTTTAATAATACATTTCAGATAAGGAAGCAGCAAACTTCCTGGAGCTGGGGTGCTGAGGGCCGGTAAGAGCTCACACTTGGTCCCAGAAGGCAGAGTTAGGGGCTTGATTTCTGCAAAAGGAGCGGCCTGATACAGGTTGGGGAGACTAAGTCATTGGCCTCCAGGACAATTCACTGCTTTGGGGTTTCTGTCTTGCTGCGCTGCCCCCAGTTTAGGACGGGAAGCAAGCATTCAGGATAACTTTGATTTTATTGGAGGCTTGGACAGGGTGGCAAAACTGTGGCTTTTATGCAGTAAGAGTAGTATCCAGCCTGGATAGAAGTTCTGGTCCAAGCTGGGGTTTATCCTTACTCAGGTCACCTTTTCTCCGACACTATAGTAACAAGGTGCCCTATTTAGAGAGGCTCTGATTGTCTGGATAGGACAGGATGCTGAGAGCAGATTGAACCCCAGCAAAAAAAAAAAAAAAAAAATTGTTTTCATGCTACTCTCCTCTCCCTCCTCCTCTATCTCTCCCCAGTAAAAGCAGACACACTGAACAACCTTAAGTGATAAATTCATACTATTAAGCAGCATAGTCGGGTCACCCTGCAATGCGTTCCAGCATTTTTGTTCTTTGAGAACTTTGAATTGGAAGAACATGCAAGTTTAGGAGTAAGACAGCCTGGGTTCAAATTATGACTCAGCCTCTTGGCTGAGAGGGCTTCTACTCTCCTGATTCTCCAACTTCTCACAAAGGGAATAATAATAATCTCTCCTGAAATGGTTTTAATACAAATGAATTGAGACAACTTTGGAAAATATGCCTAGTATAGTACCTAAAATATAGTATGTGATTAATAAACTCTTAGTTTTCTTTCCAGAAAATAAAAGGCAGGAAACATGAGGGTGCACCAAGGCCATCCAAGCCTCTCACACTAGTGGAATAAAATGACCAGCATGTCTAAATGCGCAGCCCCATGACGTAAGCATCTCTGATAATGAAGGCTCACAGGAACTAGAACTTTGTTTCCCTTCTCTAGATTCATACCACTCAGAAGTCCGAAACTGAGGCCCAGTCAGGCCCACAGCGTATCCTGCTGAGGCCACAGTGAGGAGTCTCCCGGCTCCATTTGCCTTCCATAGTAACATTTATCACAGTTCATAAACAAAGGATGGCATCAGGAAGAATGGGTAGGCGATGAGTAGGGAAGGGCATCTATTCCACTCCCATATGCCTGTCTATATTTCAAGGTCTCCCTTAAAAGAACCAGGTCAACCAAACCTCAAGAGTGAACTCTGCTGTCAGCAAGCCAAAGAAAAACAAAATATCTTGCATGCCCTGTTTTGCAGCTCCCATCTGCACCCCTCCCCCCAAAAAACACTTGCTTACTAGATGGCAAATAATGGTCTCTTTTACCTGGTATCAGCTGGCTTCCTTCAACCAACTACTTCAAGTCTGGGGGCGGGGGGTGCGCGGCAGACCTTGTTCTTGCTACAGCTTGCTTCCTTCTTTCCTGCCAGCAGCCAGCATGTATCTGATGGGAGCCAGCCAGAGCTCCTGGCAGCGCAAAGTGGGGCAAGCCCTAGCATGACCTGCCCCCCGTGATCTGACCCCCAACTGGGCATTGAAAGGGGACCAGTGTGGGGGAGGAGAGAGCTGGGTTAAATTGACTAAGGCTCATTTCTATAAAAGCAGCCCAGAATTCCCTTCACCTCAATAGGCAGAGGAGCAGGGCTTCCTCTGATATCTCTTGGATAGTGATCCTCAATTCCTCTTTGAATCTATCCTTGGTATTAATTCTAACCTGATTTCATTTATAGGTACACGTTGAGGAGGATGAGTATAACATAACTTATTCACGTGCCATAGAGACCACTCGATTTAAGGATCAGGCACCAGACACCATTCATTCCTTCAGTTGCTTAACAAATAGTTCTTGAACATTTACCTCACACCAGCACTGTTCTATACACACTGGCAAATAAAACAAAGATGGTCTCTGCCCTAGGGGGCGAGCTAGACAATGACTATGAAAATTAATAACTATGTAATTATAAATTGGGAGAAATGGTGTTGAGAGAACTATCAGGTACAGTAATAGAGAATTATGAGGGAGGGGTCTCATTTAGATGAGGGAAGGTATCTCTAGGAAGTGACATTTCAGGACTCGGGATTTCAGTGGCAGTTACCCATGAAGATCTTACCTCGCTGCTCAGCTAAGTTTCCTTGTCTCTTAATGAAAGGCTCCAAGAAGAATGAAAGTGTACCTCAGCCAGGGATGCAGTGAAGAACATTCTGGGAGAAGGTCAAGGGCTAGAAAACCATTCTTGCAGGTCTCCTGCTGTGGATGCATTTACTTCTCTTCCCTTTCTCCCCCACCCCTGCACCCATCTGTCTTCTGACCACAGCCTTTCTGGGATGCTTTTTTCTTCCCTACAATCTCTTCCTTGTTCTTGTCCCCCAGCACGTTCTCATCACTATGAGCATTCTGCTCTCCCTGATGCAGCCCACAGAAGCCCTTCTTTGTCTTTGAAAACAGTTTTCTCCTTGGTCCCTATAGTCCTGCCCTTGAATCCCCAGATGCCAAATAGCTCTGACCTACAGGAGCTAAAATTCGCCAATCCTGCTGGGCCAGCAGGCTAATTACCAAGTCTTCTTTCTATAACTCTTTATCTCAGGGTTGTTTTCTAAATTAGCATTAGCTAGTTCCATATCAACACCATTTACTCCCCACTTTAAGGAGCTGGCCCTCTAGATTGGTTGTGGAACCAGCCTAGATAACAGAGCCAGACAGACCTGGGTTTGAATCCCAGCTCCCCTTTTTACCAGCTCTGTGACCTTAGACAACTAAGGATCCTTTTCTGGGCCTCAGGTTCCACATATGCAAGGTCTACTCTGCAGAGGTGGTATAAGAATTAGTCAAGAGGTATGCAAGATAATGGAATGTTACAGTAGATGTACTACAAATAGGAGTCTTTATTATTATATCAGCTATAAAATAGCCTGTGTAGAATCTTGGCAGTACCTCTTTTAGGAAGGGAACTGATTATTCTCTTAAGAATGGTGTCCAGGTCTCCATTTCACCAACTTGGCCACAGTAGCTTTTTAATCTGTATATTGCTAAGAACCAGGTGAAAGGATACTTCAGGACATGGTGAAGGGCATGGATCCCAGAATCTTAGATTGGAAGAAATCCTGAGAAAATTCTAGTCCAAGTTCTTGCTATCAGACAGGACTGAATTTAACTCTCTGACAGATGGAAATCTTTTCCAATACATAGTTGAGCAACTGTCACTCTGCTGCCTCAGTGGTATTGTTCCTGTGATCACACACATTGCTAGAATTACTTCACTCAGTCATTCAATCACTGATTTTAAAAATATTTATAGAGCACCTACTATGTGCTGAGTACTACTCAAGGCACATGGATATATAGGCAAGAAGACAAAGTCCTGCCCCTCATGAGACCAGCTATTTGCAGAGATTGAAAATAAAATAAAAATAGCAAGAAGAGGGATGGAGAGAGAGAGAGAGGGAGGAAGGAAAGAAAAAAAGGGGAGAGTAGGAGGAAGAGGAAGGAAAGAAGGAAGGAAGGGAGGGAGGGAGGGAGGGAGGGAGGGAGGGAGGGAGGGAAGGAGAAGGAAGGAAAGATAGAGGAATGATATGAAGAAAATAAAACACAATAAGAAAATAGAGTGGTGGGGAGCAGGAATAATGAGGTAGGGTTGCCAGAGGAGGCCTCTCTGAGATGTCACCTGACTAGAGACCTGATGCACAAGGAGGAACAAGACATGAGAGGATGTGAAGAAGAGCATCGTAAGTGGTGGTGATTTCAGTGTAAAGTCTCTGAGCAGAAACAAGCTGGATGTATTCAAGGTACAGAAAGAATTTCCACATGGTTGTGGGTAGTGAAGCTGCAGGTGCTAGAGTATGTAAGGCCTTGAAGGTTGAATTTTATTCTAACTGTAGCATTTAAGCAGAGGACCAGCAAGATCTGATTTATGCTCTGAAAGGATCCCTGTGGCTATTCTTGGAAATGTGCTATCAGGAGCATGAGTGAAAGTAAGGAGACCAGTTAAGGAAGTTGTTGCAGGAGTCCAGGAAAAGGTAGATGAAGGCTTGAACCAGGTTGCAGCACTGGAGATGGTACAATCTGGCCAGATTTGAGATATATTTTAGGGGTAGAGCTAAAAAGACTTTACTATGGGTTAGATATGAGGGTGGGGATTGATAGAGGGGAATCAAAGACGCCTTGATTTTGAACCTAATAAATCGGGAAGATAGTAGTGGTATATAATGAGATGGGATTGTTTGGGAGAAAATACTTATTTCATATTTTCTCTTCCTCTAGACTGAAAGTCCCTTTGGGGCAGGGCCTCTAACTTTTCATGATCACTGCTGTAGGCTCAGTGTCTGGCACAGGGCCTGGCTTGCAGAATAACAAAAGCAGCTACCCGTAGTGGTTTGTTAGTACATACACAGCGCCGTGCTCCATACATATTCATTGTCGCATTTAATCCTCACAGGACAACTGTGAGGAGATACTTGCTCAAATCCTCATTTTACAAACCAGGAACTGGGTTCAGAGAGGTGACATGACAGCTTCAAGGCCTCACTGCTACTAAGTAGTAAAGCTTAATAGTGGTGTGTCTGGCTCCAAATTCTTCTCTCTCTCTCTCTCCTTTTTTAAAAAGTAGTTTCCATGCCCAGCGTGGAGCCCAGCACAGGGCTCAAACTCAAACCCTGAGATCAGGACCTGAGCTGAAATCAAGAGTTGATGTTTAACCAACTGAGCCACCCAGGTGCCCCCCAGCTCCAAATTCTGTGCTCTTCATCACCATACCACATGGTGTGGATGGATAGATGGATGGGTGGGTGGATGGAGGATTCGGTGGGTAGATAGATGGATCAATGGATGGATGGATGGAAGGCAATATACTTACTGAAAACCATTTATAATAAAGTGTCTAGAGGAAAAATATATAAAAAGTTCTAGAAAGCTTTAAAATAAATGAATATATAATATATATTATATTATATTATATTATATTATATTATATTATATATTTGAAGAAATTACCTTTTCAGGGAATATTTTCTAGTACTTTTTTCAATGATCCGAGATTACTTTCAAAGCATTAGGATCACATGAAATGTTTTTGATGTTTGAAAAATATCTTTGGGGAAACTTGATCAGAATAAAGGCAGAAAATATTGCTGTGAGTCAGGCAGCCCAGAACCCAGAGCTACTCAGCAGTGTCACTTCCATGGCTAAACAAGAACAGCAAATCTTAGTTGTGGCCTACTAGGGTAAAATCAGTTCCACAGTGTTTCTAGTAGGTGTTCTATTAGACTACAGCTTTCTCAAGGAGAGTATCCCATACCTAGTTCATGTTGGTACAGTGACTCAGGTCAGGAACCTGGGACCAGCCTAGATCTCTCCCTTTCTATCACTAAAACAATGAAAATACAAAATTTGTTGAGCACTTTCTGTGCCAGACACTGTTCTAGGTACATAGACCTCATTTGATCTTTACCACAACCCTATGCTGCAAATACTATTATCAGCCTCATTTTACAGATGAGGAGGCTGAGGCAAATGGCTTAAATAACTTGCCCAAGTCACAGTGATAGGAAGTGTATGGAATCAGTACAATCTGAAACCACATAGCCTGTGTAGGTAACCCTAATGCCACCTTACTGAACAATCCAGTCCTGTGGATTCTGCCTTCTTAATCATACTCTCAGTCGTCTCTTCCTCTCTGTCTCCATGGTTACTGCCCTCAGTCAGACATTGCATCTTATCTCATCTGCAATATTACCACATCCTCCTCAAGTATTTCCCTGTTCCCCTCTCTGCCTTTCTCTACTCCTTTCTTCTATAACCGACCAAGTTGGAATTTGATGCCCATCTGGTCATGTCATGTGTCTGTTCAAAATCTTTGAATGGCTTCTTCCTGCCGGAGCTAAATCCCAACTCCTTGGGGCACATGGGTGGCTCAGTCGGTTAAGCCTCAGACTTTGGCTTCAGGTCATGACGTTGTGGTTCGTGAGTTTGAGGCCTGTGTCAGACTCTGTACTGACAGCCGTACTGACCCTGGAGCCTGCTTCAGATTCCGTGTCTCCCTCTCTCTCTGCCCCTCCCCTGCTTGCACTCTGTCTCTCTCTCTCTCAAAAATAAACATTAAAAAATATAAACAAACAAACAAAACAAAAAACCCAAACTCTTTTAAAAGCATTTCAAGACCTGGCCCCACCCACTTTATGCAGACTCTTCCTCTTCTCCTGCTGTTTACCTTGAACCCTGTGTTATAGGCATCATCAAACATATGCTCTCTCAAGTGTGAATACTGGGGGGGAGGGGGGGGTTGGCACTACCCACAATGCTTCCTTCTTTTCTCATGGGGGCAACACCACACCCTCCCTTACATATGTGCACGTCTGCACACATACCTTGTCTATTGGTGATTCCTCTTTATTCTTGAAGCCTCCTCTATGGAGCATTTTCTCACTCTCACAACCAAATTTAGGAACCTCTTCCTCTTCTTTGGCACTGCCCCTTCATACCTCTGATGAAGCATATCATTTTTTAATTGTAATTTTCTCTTTACAAACTGTCTCTCTTTAAGATGTGAGGGTGATCTGGCTGTGACATCTGTCACCCCATTGATCGCCAGGGTTGATTCGGCTGATCTGGCTGGCTAGGCGGGTGTCCCCTTCCTCCCTCACTGCTCCATGTGCGTCCCTCCCGAAGCTGTGTGCTCGGGTCGAAGAGGATGACCTTCCCCCATAGAAGAGGAACGTTCTTCCGTCAAGGGTATATGTGTAGCCGCCCTCCCCTGCTAGAACCTCCAAACAAGCTCTCAAACTGTCTCCCTTTACGAGTGTAAGGTCTTTGAGGGCAGGAACCATAGTTATCTTGTTACTGTTGTATCCCCAGAATCTGTACATGTTAAAAAGTCATTGTTAAGTGAATAAATGAATGACCCATTGAAATGAATTGATTTGCAAAGTAGAAGTAGATTTCAAAATCTGGGAAACATTTTGTTCTCACACTTTCCCATTGTTAGATTTATCTACCTGGGGATTTTTGCTGCAGTGGGTCTCAGGTTGTAATTATAGAGTGGTTAAGAATGAAGGCTCTGGAGTCACATTAGCTAGGTTTAAAACTCAGGTCTACCGTCTGCTAGCTGTGGGCACTTAGGAAGTCATCGTCTTACTAAGCCTAAGGGTTTTTATTTTGTTTTGTTTGTTTTTACTTTAAAACTGAATTAATAGTAAGGTCTACATTATAGGGTTAATGTGAGGGCTAATGAAAAAAAGAACATATGGAGCATTTGATGACTGGCACAGAGCTAGTGCTCAATACATATGAGCTATTATTAGTAGCTATTTTCCTGACAGCTTCACTTGACCCCATTGTGTCATCATCACTCTTGGAACCAAATGTCTAGAGTCTGGTTCTCAAACATAGTCATTCAGTTTCAGCAGGTTTT